CTGATGCTAACTTAACTATGTGAGCAGTGTACATAATTCATAACCCAGATGTTGCTGAATTCGACTCAAACATTAGAAATCTATTACTAACAAACTTAATAAAAACCCTCCAATACTAACAGTTGATTTTAATATTGACCTTTGAGAGCCTGATAATCCTAAAATCACTAGTTTCCTTAACTGTATGAATTCCTGCATGTTCATTCCCTTGATCACTAAACTGACTAGACTTACTGATACGACTGCCTCTGCTCTTGACCACATCTGGACTAACATAACCTCTCCACTTACTTCATCTTGACCACATCTGGACTAACATAACCTCTCCACTTACTTCATCTTGACCACATCTGGACTAACATAACCTCTCCACTTACTTCAGGGATAATCACTCATAGGACCACAGACCATTACCCCACATATCTTCTAATCAACCTTAATAAACCACCATTAGATACAATGAAGATAAGCCTTAGGCTGAACAATGAAACTTCCATAAGCAACTTTATTGCTGCTGCTGCTAATATCAACTGCGAGACTGAATTCGGTAATATAGTAAACATCAACCTAGTGGTGCAAACATTTCTTCAGAAAACTCTGAGCCTTTATATTACCCATTGTCCAATGCTAACTAAACAAGTCACAACTAAAAGTTTAAATAATCCATGGTTTACTAAGAGCATACATAAATCTATCAATAAAAACATGATCATGACAAGAAGTATAGGTTAAGGATCATCTCCAAAGAAGTTTCTGGGAGGTACTCATCAATGCTGTCCAAAATAATTTGGAGAGCCAAAATAAACTACAATGAAAATAAATTCAATCAAATTAAGGGCAACGTGAAGAAAATGTGGAACACTATTTCACAGATATTAGGATGAAAGAAGGTCTTGAATAAGAAACCAATACTCCTAGTCAATGAGAATTGTGTGCTATCTGTAACCGACACTTTCATTAAATTCAATAGTCTTCTCATCCATTGGCACTTCCTTTGCAAATGATGTATGTACCAACCACCTACTCCGCCACAAACTCCCGAACCATGCTGAGAGTCCGATGCATGGACGGTCACCACCGCCCTTGGCTGGATTGTAGAGAGATGGTCACAAAGCCCAACCTACAGACGAGGCGTCTATGTAAACATCAAACGAGGGAGGAGGGAGATGCCATGGCAATGAACCCCGAAAAAAACGAAAAGAAACCAGTAACGCAGCAACTGGCGCAAGGACACAAAGGGAAGAACCCAGAAATTGCAAGAGTTGCGAGAATGGCTGCCCCATAGAAACCAGAAGACTTTCAAAGCCAAACCCTGCAAAGTGGGTAAACCAGCAGAGCAAAGTTCATGCTCTTGCACAACTGCTTGAGTAACGCAATAAAAGGGTCTCCCTCAATAACAGCCGACAGCAGAACTGCAGCCGGAACATCGCTGCAGGAGGGAAAGAAAGGGACACAATTCCAAAATCTCACACAATGCCCAGTCTAGTTCGATCCTGGGACGGAACCAACTGGCACTTCCACCAGTTCACCAGGAACCAGAATCTAGTGAGCTGTAAAAGAACAAAATCCCTGGCTAGCAGACAAGCAGACTGGATGGGAGTCCACACCAATCAGTCGTTGAGATAGGCCAAGACCCGAAGACCTAGCAGACGAAGATGGGCCACCGCGACCAGAGTCAGAGTCATCACCGAGGCATAGACCGGGACCCGCAGGAGGTAAGCACCTAGAGCCTCCCAAACCTCTACAGGGGAAAATTCAGGAGGAAGAAAACTGGCGGAAAGACGAATCCAAGGAACCCAAAGGCACCCAGAACCGTACACCAGGGGAGAACCCAACCAAACTCAAACTCATAAAGGGAAGGAGGGGAATGAAAACCCCCTTCCCTGCACAAGGCTCAAGGGCCCAAGTCGGGTCAAACAGAATTCAAGAGCTCCACTCGGATTCCCCCCTCCTCCCCCTGGAAATCATAGGTAAAGGCCCCGGGGGACAGCAGAGTCCAGGGGAAAAGCTTCAAAGAAGGTAGTCGGCTGGATAGACTCAGAAACTTTGATGGGAAAAAGAGGTGCAACCATGTCCTCGCCCGAATCGGAAGGGTCAGCCCCCGAAGCCACCCGGGCCTCATCCTGATCTAACCCCACCCTGACTCTGAAACCCTCCAGAAGAAAAGGAAGAAGGGCCGCAGAACAAATTGTATGAAAAAAAACACGCACTAGAAAGAAACGTCGTCGTCTCTTCAATTTCTAGTGTGGTTTGGTCATCATATATGTTAGCTTGCTTCTCATTATTATTAAGGGTTTATCTAATTAGACCTATAAATAGAGGGAATTATTTTGGTTATGTCCCAGATTTTTTGCATATTATTTATTTTTTATTTATTATTTATTTATTTATGTACAAGAAGGTACATTGGGTTTGAGAGAATACACAGCATAGTGTTTACAATCTTGTAAAGCCACTAGTACGCGCAGCAATTCGGGCATATTAGTTTATTTATTTCAAATGCAACCTCTGTACCTACAAATAAACTACTGGAATAGGTTGCTATGTACATTTAATGAATAAAATTGATCCTATCATTGATACTATTATTATTATTATTATTATTATTATTATTATTATTATTATTATTATTATTATTATTATTATTAATATTACACAGTGATAATCACACTAACGTCATGTATCATTGAGAAAATCCGTAGGAGCTATGATAAGGATTTGAACCTATGCAGTGGGTAGTCCCACTCATATGTGCCAGACAATCAGGCCACGATGTGATCAAAAGGATTACAACCTGAAGTTCTACTGAACATACGAGGGTTTCCTAGTCCGGATTCAGTGGAAGCCTTAGGAAACCCTTGTGTGTTCAGTAGAACACAAGGTTGCAATCCTTTAGACTATTTCGGGGCTTGATTGTCTGGGGCTTGTGCGTGAGACTACCTAACACAGGTTCGAATCCCCCATCAAGGCTCCTATGGATTTTCTTATCAATATTATTATTATTATTATTATTATTATTATTATTATTATTATTATTATTATTATTATTATTATGGAATGTCTAAGTATGTGTCTTTTCAGAATTTAAAGTTTACCATCTTGTGATGGTAAAAGAATGGCATATTGAGGAGGGGCTTGGACTTCACTGGGGAGGAGTTCTTGCAAAGTAAGAATGGGGGAGCATTTAAAGTTGGAGAATGGGGGGGCATTTGAATATGACCGGGTATTCTGCTCTCAATGAGCAGTCAGAGGAATTAACTTTCGGGAAGGTGCAGGTGTGAAACCCAGGGATGATAAAGTCCCTGAAGGAGCAACCTTCCAAGAACTGAGCAAAACTACATACGTCTTCAGGAGTAGTGAGCATCGTTGTTGGGTAGTGTGCAACATTAGTCCACTCAGTTGTGCAGGGTGGGGTAGTGGGGTATCCAATGATGACCTAGGGTGCAAAGGGTACGGCTTGAAAGCCAAGGGTCTAACAGCACAGTGCAACAGTCATGACTGTCGGAACAGTCTCTAGCTTGCTGAAGGGTATGTTGCTGGTGATAGTTGAAGCAGCAACCTGAAGACACCTGTGAGATGTTTGGCTGCGAGTGGTGCTTTGTGAAGCCCCAGACTCCTGCCTTGGGTCGAGTGAAAAGGCAGCTACTTCTCGGTAGGCAAAGGTAGGTCCCAAATCTGGGACACCTGGAGGGTCCCACATCTGGGATACCTGGAGGGTCCCACATCTGGGATACCTGGAGTTTGATATCTTGCACAAAAGGATCCACGCGAATGCTGTGTTTTCTGCCCTCCAGGTTTAACTGGTCACACGAGCACTAAGGGGCATCATAGGTATGCAAGTTATGGATGTACGGAAAGTATGCCAGGTGTGAGCACTCGGGGTGATGAAGAGCACCAACTCCGTGTGGGACAAAATCTCAGGAGAGGTTGTGACCTAAGGGAATAATGGAGACCTGTAAAATCATATGGAAAACTGTTAGACTGTCGCTCACAAGAGGAAACTTACTTGCTGTGGATGACGAGTTTGGGGGCCTTGAGGGCCTTAGCGAGGGAGACCTCTGCTTGGCATAACTACTTCCCGTAGTTGACTGTACATCATGCAGTGTGTGCTTGACCTGCTCCAACTGTATACGGGATGGCGAGTGACCACCAGAGGACAAGCAGGCGCTTGGTGGCCTGGGCCTGGGCTCAGTGCTAGCCAGTGGGGATCCATCAGAGTTGACTGGCAGAGACGAATCATATTTGGAGGGCATGAATCTCTTCCTTGCTGGCTGGGCTCTGGATGAGACTCGCTTAGTCCCCCGTGTACATGCTTCTGCTTTTCCTTTCTTCCTCTTGGGTGTTCCGGTAGCCATGGGTGACACAGGACTGTGAAAATGAACATAATGATCATTGGCAGTATAGGTGGTAGCCATAGTAAGAACATGTGTGTGTAACAAAATGTGACTTGACACTGGCGACCAAGCACAGACAATAACAAAAATAACAGTTATAAATTAAATATTACCAATAATGGATGTAATAGACAGACAGAAGGTAGTGAGCCACTGCCATTGGAGACCTTGGAAAGTACATAGCTAAAAGCCCGAAGTCCCTCAGATAATGGTAGTAGGGCATAGCACAGCCCAGGGGGAGGGAGGGATACTTGTGGAGTTGGTCGAAGAGGCACAAGTCAAGCCCTGGGACACATGTGTAGCCCTGGGACACATGTGTAGCCCTGGGACACATGTGTAGCCCTGGGACACATGTGTAGCCCTGGGACACATGTGTAGCCCTGGGACACATGTGTAGCCCTGGGACACATGTGTAGCCCTGGGACACATGTGTAGCCCTGGGAAACATGTGTAGCCCTGGGAAACTTGTGAAGTCATGGGAAACATGTGTAGCCCTGGGACACATGTGTAGCCCTGGGACACATGTGTAGCCCTGGGACACATGTGCAGCTCTGGGACACATGTGTAGCCCTGGGACACATGTGTAGCCCTGGGACACATGTGTAGCCCTGGGAAACTTGTGAAGTCATGGGAAACATGTGTAGCCCTGGGACACATGTGTAGCCCTGGGACACATGTGTAGCCCTGGGACACATGTGTAGCCCTGGGACACATGTGTAGCCCTGGGACACATGTGTAGCCCTGGGACACATGTGTAGCCCTGGGACACATGTGTAGCCCTGGGAAACATGTGTAGCCCTGGGAAACTTGTGAAGTCATGGGAAACATGTGTAGCCCTGGGACACATGTGTAGCCCTGGGACACATGTGCAGCCCTGGGACACATGTGTAGCCCTGGGACACATGTGTAGCCCTGGGACACATGTGTAGCCCTGGGAAACTTGTGAAGTCATGGGAAACATGTGTAGCCCTGGGACACATGTGTAGCCCTGGGACACATGTGTAGCCCTGGGACACATGTGTAGCCCTGGGACACATGTGTAGCCCTGGGACACATGTGTAGCCCTGGGACACATGTGTAGCCCTGGGAAACATGTGTAGCCCTGGGAAACTTGTGAAGTCATGGGAAACATGTGTAGCCCTGGGACACATGTGTAGCCCTGGGACACATGTGCAGCCCTGGGACACATGTGTAGCCCTGGGACACATGTGTAGCCCTGGGACACATGTGTAGCCCTGGGAAACTTGTGAAGTCATGGGAAACATGTGTAGCCCTGGGACACATGTGTAGCCCTGGGAAACATGTGTAGCCCTGGGAAACTTGTGTAGTCCTGGGAAAGCCCTGGGACACATGTGTAGCCCTGGGAAACTTGTGAAGCCCTGGGACACATGTGTAGCATGTGTAGCCCTGGGAAACATGTGTAGCCCTGGGACACATGTGTAGCCCTGGGACACATGTGTAGCCCTGGGACACATGTGTAGCCCTGGGACACATGTGTAGCCCTGGGAAACATGTGTAGCCCTAGGAAACTTGTGAAGTCATGGGAAACATGTGTAACCCTGGGACACATGTGTAGCCCTGGGACACATGTGTAGCCCTGGGACACATGTGTAGCCCTGGGACACATGTGTAGCCCTGGGACACATGTGTACCTCTGGGACACATGTGTAGCCCTGGGACACATGTGTAGCCCTGGGAAACATGTGTCTTGGGAAACATGTGTAGCCCTGGGACACATGTGTAGCCCTGGGACACATGTGTAGCCCTGGGACACATGTGTAGCCCTGGGACACATGTGTAGCCCTGGGACACATGTGTAGCCCTGGGACACATGTGTAGCCCTGGGACACATGTGTAGCCCTGGGAAACATGTGTCTTGGGAAACATGTGTAGCCCTGGGACACATGTGTAGCCCTGGGACACATGTGTAGCCCTGGGACACATGTGTAGCCCTGGGACACATGTGTAACCCTGGGACACATGTGTAGCCCTGGGACACATGTGTAGCCCTGGGACACATGTGTAGCCCTGGGACACATGTGTAGCCCTGGGACACATGTGTAGCCCTGGGACACATGTGTAGCCCTGGGACACATGTGTAGCCCTGGGAAACATGTGTAGCCCTGGGAAACTTGTGAAGTCATGGGAAACATGTGTAGCCCTGGTTCACATGTGTAGCCCTGGGACACATGTGTAGCCCTGGGACACATGTGTAGCCCTGGGACACATGTGTAGCCCTGGGACACATGTGTAGCCCTGGGACACATATGTAGCCCTGGGACACATGTGTAGCCCTGGGAAACATGTGTAGCCCTGGGAAACATGTGTAGGGGTACAGGCTGAGGTGAGCAAATGTCTACCAGCGTGCGATATATTAACTAATTAGTAATGAAGCTAATATAATTTTTTAGATTGTCATAAAATAAATGTAATTTCTGTATATAATTATTTTTATAATTGAATTGCATATTATAAAAATAAGTCTTATTTTTGGGTGCTTGCATTGCATGTTTATCATGCAATTCCAATTCCAGATATTTATAAATTCCAGATATTTATAAATCTAAATTATAAAAATATATTGTCTTTTTTTGGTAAAAAAATAACATGGAAATGCAAATTAAAGTAAGACAAACGAAGTATAAGGAAAGTCTTTCAAAGCAGAGTGAAAAGTTTATGTGACAAATAATTGTAATCCAAAATGAACGTGTAAATAACATTTCATTGACCATAAGAGCCTAGAACTGATGATCACCGGAGTCGAGGACAGGAGCTCTACCGACCTCACAACAAATACCCAAAAGAAGTCTTGCTGTTGAGAATGTCTTGACGAGACAAAAGTGCTTTAGCAGTCTTTTCCCAAATCCGCTGTGATTATTTTGCTTTACATTATTCTGGATAAATTATATCCACACGTACCGACGATCGTAGGAAGCATCGTATGCTGGAGGCTGTGTTTATTCTGGAGCTGACACCAGTAATCAACATCCAGATGAATTCGGCATCGAGCATACAATGGTTCGATGGTCCTCCATTGACCCAGAGGGGAAACGTAAGACCTGGCGGACAGCTAGGAGCAGGAGTCAGGCAACAATCACCTCACCCTACCCTTCACGCTCCCGATGATTAAGGGGGTCAGATGAATCGTAGAGTGAGGTGTACCCCTTGTTATGATCTCAGCCTGCAGGAGAAACGAGTCTCCCCCTTGAGAGTTATTCAGCAAGCCTGACCTAACTGGAAGGTCCAGGAAATATGGAGGTGATAACACATATGTAAAATAGTTGGTTGGATTTAAATAACAATTTAAGATTATGGGCAATGAAGAAGAAAACAGATAAATGACTGGCTAGGAGATGTGGACATTTTGCTGGAGGTGTGAGGCTCGCTTCTGGAGGGCTTTGACCTCACTTGAGGCCAGACATCGCAAGGGAAAAGCCGCGCTCCGTTGAGCTCCTGTCAGAAAGGAACCCCTAGTGATATATCTCAAAGAGAAGAGAAGTGTGCAGACGTGCCAGCTGTGGAATCGAGCTGGGGATGTGTGGTCTCAAGTCCTGGGCGACGATGAGTGTTTATTAAACCACCCAGAGACATTATCGTGGGACGTGGCAGCGCCCTGACCAGGCTTCCTCAGAGGGAGGAGCGCCCTCGACCAGATAATGTGGTAAACACGATATACGCCAGTTCATAGTGATTGCTTGTAGTTGGTCGTGTGCCCAGCGACAGTAGCAATGTTTATTGATAAGTTTGACATGTTTTAATAAGGCAGAAGGCCTGAAATAAGAGAGTGGAGAGGGAGGAACACGGAGCGACATCCGTCTCCTCTGAACGCTGGCAGGCAACTGAGGGGGCCCAGCTCCTGACGGTGGAGGACCCTCCCAGTGTGAGGCCCACCGGGCGAGGTGGAGCATGGACCCGTCCAACGGGTCCACTCTCACAGTATGTAGAGGACAGATAGAGGTTGGAGGCAAACATATTGTGTGATTATTTTTGTTTATGTGTTAAAGGGGAAACATTTTTATTGGAGTGTCGATGGGTCGCAGGTTTGTTCTTTGGGGAAGAAGTTGCTGAGAACTTCGAAGCCAGCACAGAGGGAGTAGTTGATGAGACTCCAAGGTAGTCGAGCAGAGGACCTCGAGCTGTGAGGAAAAGCAGTGAAGAGGAGTGTCACGGGCTTCTGTAGAGGTGGTGAAGCACCATAGTTGCTCGAGGGAACTTCATGGTGTAGCAGCCAAGAGAGCTGTAGAGGAACCTAGCAGAAGGGTGAAGCACCATAGTTCCTCAAGGAGAACTTCATGGTAGCAGCCTGGAGGAGCTGCAGAGGATCCTGGTAGTTAAGCCCAGAAGAACCTGAAGATATCAGGGTAGTGAACTTCCAGAGGTGGAAGGGAAGTTCTGGTGGATTACTTGTAGGGAGTTGATAGTGTTTGGTTGTCATTAGCGTGCAAGGGGCAGCGAGAGGTGGGTGATTGTTTGCATTCTTATGTCTAGGAGTGTTTTATACTGAAGTTTAGTTACAGACGTAGGCTGGATTTCCTGCAGATGTATGTGTTGTAGGACTGATAGAGTGATCGATTGATCATTGTTGTATACCAAGGAACATTTATACTGATATATATATGTTATTGCATTCAATGCTGATTTTCCTTGTACACGTTTATAGATATATGCTCTTGCTGATAGTGCAACAGTGTATGTAGACTTGATCTACTTGAAGAGGTAGATAGTATCAGGTGGTGAATCAGAAGATAGGATACCACTTGGTAAACTGATAATAAAGTTCTGACGGCGTTGGAGAGCAACCTGATTGTGATAGTATAGAGTATAGGATTCATTATTATTATATGTGTGTATGTATTGTGTATGTGCTTTGTCCAGTAAATGTATCCCAATTAGCTGGTGTTTGCCCTTGTCCTAGTGAGGCTTCCCAGGAGGTAGTGAAGAAGGAGAGAGAGAGAGAAAGAATCAAGAACCACT